AGAGTGATACATGCTCAGTCGAGCGATGTATATGGAGCCAAGGATTCGCAAAGTGATGAAAAGGACTCGAATGGACAATGCATCGTCAGCAAAGCATCAACAAGCAATGTGCATCCAGATACATACGAAAATAGCATAATGTAGCGCAACGGAACGGAAGACTCAAAGATATGACCTGACCTGTCAAATACGGACGCGACACCCCATCATACACCACACATGTGAGAGAGAGGGGAGGGACCACATACATGGAAGAAAGGTCCCTCCTTGAGCGTGCACATGGGGAGATACCATGGATGAGGAGATGGGGGAGAGGCGAGACGAAGGTGGAGGTGAGGGAGAAGACCAAGATCGCGATAGCGAAGTCCAAAAATAGTCTCCCTGCCGAATGTCCAATCAATGTCTGCCACAAAATGTCGAATCAGATCCTGGGCCTCATGGCCTGATGTAACCTCTGCCTGTAACCTCTCTCTCTCTCTCTCTCTCTCTCTCTCTCTCTCTCTCTCTCTCTCTGAAAGAAGAAGAAGAAGAAGAAGAAGAAAAGGAGGAGGAAGGAGGAAGAAGAGATGGAGGGAGAGACGACGACGACGAAGAAGATGTTGTCCTCCTCGCTGTCTCACCTGCAGGGAACTGCCGCCATGTACTAACTGCCGTCGACTTGTCTCTCTGTGCAGGTCGCTGGCGAGGAGTCCAGCTATGGCGCCCAGGTAAGTACCGCCTTAGCAGGTATGGCCTCCGCCTCACCTCCTACCTACGCCTCTACACCTAGCACAGCGCTGTGTTTTGCTGCTCCAGCAGCATGTCGCCCAAGAAGTGAGCTTCTCGAACTGTGTGTCTGCCCTGGCCTGGCCCAGCTATAAGTAGCGCTGGGCCTTGCGGGTGTGCCTCTGTGTGCCGCTGGTCCTAGGCCTAAAACGGCCTGCCTGGGTCCCTACCGGACGTCCAGGCCCTCCCTGCTGATGCAGCAGGAAGTGTCCGCTATCGGACAAAAGCGGACCTGGGCCAACAGGCCCTGCCTACGTCCGTACCAGGCCGAAAACGTGGCCTTGTCCGAACAGACCAGAAGTCTGTTCGGACGAACTGCAAATCCGAAACGACTCCTGAACAGAAAAAAATAGATACAGCCAGGGTAACCGGCGTTCGGGACGGGCCGAACGCCCGAACGTATGAGACCCCTTGGGGATGCGTTCGGCCGTTCGGGCCGAACGCGGACCCAAAAAAAAAAAAAAAGAAAAAAAAAAGAAAAGTCATCAAAAAAATCTCAAAAAAAGATATGTTATGGAGAAAAATATATTAAACAAGATTTGCCTGAGCATTACGTACGAATTCCTCATCAAATTTGAAATAAAAATAAAATACACAGAATAAATACTAATAATAAAAATAAATAAAAATAAAAAGAAAATTAAATTTAGTGAGTGCGCGACCGTGTTTTCGACACCGCCATCTTTGGCGATTTTTCCTTTTTTTTTGGCATAGCTAAATGCCCTGAAAATTTACAGATGTATACTTCACATAATACAAAACCCACTAAAAAAGTTCCAAAAAATAATAAAATTGTTTAGACCCCGAACTAAAAAATTCTTATTTGGCTATAAGCCGAATGACTTGAAAATTTATAGGCATGTACCTCATGTCATAGAGAACTCACAAAAAAAATTTCAGAAAAAAAAAAAAAAAATTTAGGCCCCGAAATAATTTTTGGCGGGGGCCGAACGCCGTCGGGTTCGGACCCCGTACGGGACCCCGAACGCCCGAACGTACGGAGGTCCGCCCGGGGGCCTCTGTACGTACGGGCTGGTAACCCTGGATACGGCAAATAAATAAATAAATAAATAAGTGCTGCCTCAAATCGAATCCTGCGGCCCTACGGCCGGCCGTGGGCCTCCAGGGGCCAGGGCGCATGTCCGAATGGCGTGCGGCCTGGGGCCCCCCAGCAACCGTCGGGCCCCCAGCAACCGTCGGTCCCCCAAAATGGGCCCTGTGTGCAGGCTCAGCATGTAACACACACAAAGAGAGAGAGAGAGAGAGAGAGAGAGAGAGAGAGAGAGAGAGAGAGAGAGAGAGAGAGGGCTGAGACTTGGTTACAATCTTGTAGGGTGCGACCAGACTTGGACATGATGTCAGACTGAGATCATTCTTGCTCTTGAATGCACTTGAATCATTGCCACTTCGCTTCGTCACGAACAGGTTGCGTGAGATCTATGAGAGGGAAGCTGGCTCTGTGAAGGCTCTCAGGGTGTTAGGCTTAACTGAGCCAACATTCACCGGTGATGTCAACAGAAAAACACAATCTACCAGAGTCAGTTGTCAGCGGCTCGGACTAGATGACCTTGTATCTGTTGCTACCCTCTTCTTACCTGAATGCAACGTACGATCATTATTGCTGTATTTAGACCAAAAGATACCCCAAATACATACAGCTATAATGACCGTGCGTTGTATCTGGGTGAAGAAGAAAGTAATGTTCTGACAGAGTAGCTGATTATGTTAGGAGTCCTGAGGCAGCATACTCTTATGGCTCCACTTTGCAGTCCAATCTTGCATCCCAGTGAGGAGAAGGAGAGGGGGGGGAGAGCAAGCGCGGGGGAGAAGGGAAAAGTTGTTTGCAGCATGTTTTGCCACGTCAGATATATTTTTCTGGATATTGGGCCTCGCTCGACTACTCAGCATACGTATCTAGACTGATTAATGGACCGGTACATTCGGACTGATCAAACGTTTTGAATGTATTTAGGCCACTATTACCTTCAGGTACATTTAGAATGTTATGCAGTGGAGCGAGGCCCATTGGTGTTAGCTGCCTGACATATGTGCTTGCTGTCGGACGGGTATCCTGACCTATGCGCTTTGTTTGTGTAATCTTTATCTTTTTTTTTTTTTTTTTTTTTTTTTTTCATATCGTTGGTGCCCCACCAGATCGGTCCTTTGTTTTGGGGGGTTCTTCAGCCTGGCGAGTCCGTGACCCAGACCACAGGTAAGATGTGGTTTAATATCGCTGTGTACCCGTTCGACGGGAAGAATGAACCGTCAGCGAAGGATCGGCTGATGGGAATCCTGATACCGACGGCCGCCGCCCTAGCTGTTACGATAACAGCGGGGTCGGCCGCCGTTGCTGCGATCCCGGCAGCAGGCACTGCTGCAGCCGCGCTGGCGCCGATCGCCACAGGGCCCTCTGCTGCGTTCGCTACGGCCGCCAGCAGCGCTGCTGCCGAAGCGGTGGCCGCGTCCTCCTCGGCGCGGAAGTTCCTTATAAAAGATGCGAGAGACGAGAAGCACGCCGTCGCCCTCAAGTACTGGTACGCAAACGGGAGGACGATCATCGTCACGGGAAGTATCAGCAAGGACAAGAATGGCAACAGCAAGAGCGGTCTCAGGTTTGAGTATCCGGACGGAACCCCCATTTCATCGGCGTCTTCGTCTTTTTTCTTCTGAACACATGATGCGTGTGAACATGTTTATAAATGGGGTTTGAGCGGTGAGGAAGGGATTGCTCACCATACCTGTCTAAGCGCCGAAATGCGCATGGGAGGACAATTGTCAGTGCAAGGAGCAACAGCGAGGGCAATTGTGCAAGAAAGAGGGAGGTCGCAGGCTCGAACATTCAGGCGGAACCCCCATTTCATCTTCCTCCTTCTGAGATGGCGCGTATGAACTTGTTAGCGAGTGTTATGAACATGTGCAAATGGTGTTTTTTGAAGGTGCAGGGCGGCGGGAGCAGGGCGGACATTTGCTTGCCATCACTGTCACTGCGAAGTACTGGTAGGTATACGCCAATGGGTGGAGGATTGCCATTGTGAGGAGCACCAGGGATTTGATCAAATGAATCTGGATGCTATTTTGCGTCCGGATACGGTTTGGTTGGTCGAACGAGAGGACCGTTTTGATTGCTGGGGTACTCAACGAGGACAGTTGCGCAGGAAAGAGGTGGTCTCATCAGGCTATAGAGCCTCCCGCCGGCTCCCCCGATTGCGAGTTCTTCCTTCTGAGAGTATTGTGAACATGTATAAATGGGGTCTGAATTTGGAGAAAAGGGGGGGGGGAGGGGGGGGGAAGGGGGGGGGAAAAGGGGGTGGCACTTGGTCATATGACTGTATGCTACCGTCGTCACCACCCGAATAGAATGCCTGGTCATTCTAGCTGTATTTGGGGCAACTTTCAGACCAGATGCAGTGATAATGACTGGGCGTTTTATTCGGGGGGGGGAGGGGGGGGTGGCAGTTGGTCATATGACTGTATATGCTACCGTCTGTTTTCCCTCGAATAGAACCCCCGGTCATTATAGCTGTATTTCGGGCAATTTTCAGACCAGATGCAGCAATAATCACCGGGTGCTTCATTTGGCTGAAGACATTAGTTTTGCACATGCATTTCGGGCAATTTTCGGACCAGATGCAGCGATAATGACCGGGTGTTTTATTTGGGTGAAGGCAGTAGTTTTTTCCACAATGTCATTCATTTCTTGTATGAATACGGTCATGGTTCATGGCTACACTAGGCTGAATGGTGATACATGGGTAGTTGGTACCAGTTTGGGGGGGGAGGGAGGAGGGAGGGGTTCACTTGCAAATATGCCATAAATGGGGTGCCAGACCTGTGTCATGTGCAGGTACTCCCTCTCCTCTCCTTGTGTGCAGAGGTGTTTTCTCTCTCTTTTTTTGAGCAGAGGGGTGTTGTCTCTTTTCAGCAGACCTGTGCTGTGCATGTGTATATACTATATACTATATACTATATATGGTAATAATCTGTACAGAATGTCTGTCCAGATTCTACTACAGAATGCTCTCCGTTATCTTTCCTCGTATGGATTTCCCATTGGATATCTCGGCGACGTCGTGATGGGGAAGCAAAAGACGGACTGTTGTTGGGATGAGTCCGATGAGGGGAAAGACGTAGTAGGGTGAAAACGGTAGGTTGTGAACTTGTGACAGACAGTTACATGAAGACTCGCCGAAGACTCACCGAATCATCATCAGGAGGGTATACTACTATACATCCTGCGGCTCGCGAAATTGGCGCCCAATGCATTTGCATGGGCTCGGTGGTGTACAATTGTGGGGAATTTTGAACAAGGGCAATTACGAGGGAGAGAGAGAGAGAGAGGACTTGGTGGAGTGAAGAAGTGATCCTACCAAGGATGGGTACACTCAGATGTTTAGGGCTTTAAAAAAAATTAGAAAAGAAGCCTTGTTATTATAACAGGTGTCATGTGTTTTAACGGGTTTTAGCGTCTTAGGGTGTTTAGAGTTGAATGATTTTGTGTGGGTGGGTTCGCCGGAACACACCTTTGCGCGGTTTTGAATGATGAGGAATGATCACGAGGGAGAGAGCTTGTCACAGAGGAGAAGTATGTGAGCCTTCCTTTTTTATTTTTTAATTACTCCCTCCCCCCTCCCCCCCTTTTAGACCCCCTGTTAATAAAGAATTAGACCGATTGTAAGGGTAACTGGCAAACTGCTATCACTGTCTTTTTTTTTTTTTTTTTTTTTTTTAAAAAGGGCGTCAGCGTCTTAGGGGTTTATTATTATCATTTTATGGTGTTTAGAGTTTAGGCCATTTAGGGTATTCGAGTTGTTCCGGGTTTGATGAGGCTTAGGAGGAGACATGTATGGATATGGTGGATATTATGGAGAGGTGTTTTAGGTCTTTCGCTCTGTTAAGAATGGATGAGGTAGGTACATGTATATAGCGGAGGTGACACAGCTTAGCAGTGGGAGTGAAGTGAAAGTGATAGTTCGTAGAACCCGATTACATGAAACTTCCTGGAAACTTCATTTGGAGTGGATTTGGAGAGTGCATTGCTCAGCAGTATGGATAATGGTTAAGCGTGTTTTTTTTTTTTTTTTTTTTT